TTTCTTTTAATTTTTTTTTACCCTACCTGATGCAAATACTCTTTGTCGGGCAGCACACTTTGCTCCCATAGTGCTGAAGTTCCGGCGATTAGCTGCTGTCGTCCCACTAATTCAGTTGCCGGATCGTCGGCATTGACACTGTCGTAGGTCTCCTGGAACACCACGTGTGTGTCCTTTAAAAAGTTCTTGCCGATTATGAACAGCTCCAGACCACCATCGACGGGACAAGAGTTTAGCGATTTTTTACAGATCTCCGGCACACCGGGTGGCTGAGCTGTAAAACGAAATAAAATGATCCTAAATTAAGAATTTGTATTTGTTTTCGTTTGTAACGTTCCCTTAAAAAAATGAGAGGAGTACGAACTAGATCTGAGTTTACATTGAACCTCTCAAGGGGCACTGTCAGCTATTCCAATCATAACGCTTAGAATCGATCTCCAATGCACAGCTACTCAATTTAAACAAGGTAATTCACAAAGAGCCCTTGGATCTACCACTTCTAGACTAAGTAAACCCCATGCCAAACAATTAGGCCCTTTGCCACCAAATTAATTACGAACAGCATCATCATAATCATGACCAAACTATTCTATACTATATGGATTTATCTGGCTTAAGTTGAAATAGTCTTCGATAGTGTGTTATAATGAGCGTCTTTGACTATATTCCAGCCCTACAAGATTTAATCCAGACTCTTCTCTAACTTCCTATTCTGGAAATGGTTAACAAAGAAAAATGTAAATTGGATATACAACAAGTATAGCATACTATAATGAAGTTGGACTTGAGCTAAATCGCTTATATTTTGGTTTTTAGTACCTACTACTATTTTCATGAGCTACTACGTTTTGGTAAATCTCCTTTCTCAAGTTCACCCGTTCCAAATTTTAAAAATTTAATTTGGTTTTCAAAATATGGTATTTATCACTAGATTTTATTGTCGAGCATTTCTCAATCGCACTACTATTTGCAGCTCTAGTCTAGTCGAATGCCTCTCGAATACTAAACGAATTGATATATTTGCAATTCGGTTGTGGTTATGGCTAACATTCTAGACAAGTATTTAAGGTATAGCATTGATGGGTTTATTGTATACATACTGCATATGATGGGATTGGAGCAGACCTGCAGCGTTTCAGTGCTGCCATCGTCACGTGTTAGCTGCGTGCGAAAGACCATGCGACAACGTGTTGACTTCTTCTTGTTCTTCTGGGCCAGATGCTCCGGAAAGCGATGCTCCACGTCGACATTGCGTTCCTGAAAGGACAAGAGTTTGCAGCTATAGAGTTTGCCGGCTTAATTGTGAATGGTGCCTACCTTAAGGATGCCAACGCAATCGCAGGTGATGGTCATGTCCGTTTCGGGCTTGAAGTCAATCTCGATGACCATGGTGCCGTCGACCTTCTTCTCGTTGCACTGCGTCGAATTCTTGCCGGCCACCTTGCACGCCTGATAGAACATGTGCGGTGCGACGCGTCCGATGTCCGTGCCGATGAACACCTGCAGCACGGCCGGCTTATCGTAGCCCGTTAGCCGGACAATGGGAAATCCGTTGCCGCTGCGATCCTTGACGGCGCCGCGGCTGCCCTCGGTCTGGTAGCGTGCACGATGCTGTTGCTCCGGCTGCGACACGATCTCCAGCTGCACATGGCTATCGTTGGAGCTGGCGATGCTGTTCAGCGGTGTTGTGGGCTGTCGCTTGTTGGCCACGCGGGTTACGGCGCGTGTGCCAATGAATCTGCGAATGGGCATTAGAACATCAATGTAAACAAATGCTCACACTTAGCGCCAAAAGGTCAAAGTTCAGCAGAACTCTGTGTGTAATGATGGGAGGCGGGCGCGGGCAGTTTAAAAAATAAAATCAAAAATCATAAAAAGCTCAAATCAAAGGTGCAAAATGTGGCCAATGAATGCAGCAGCAAATGCGTACGCAAAACTTGTTCTTCTTGACTGCAAAACTCTAAGAAAATTCCAAATATTCTACTATGGCATATGTATATATATATGTGTATATACATGTATGTATATGTATGTGTGTATATATATATATATATGTGTGTATATGTTTATGGTATGGAATTCTATGCAGGAGCATGCGTGTGGCATATGCGTATTAATGTTTTATAATAAAGAATTTAGTGCTACACGTGCTGACCCAGGATGAATTTTGAATTGATGGCGAAATGATATATGAACTATATAATACACACACAGACACACACACACATACGCACACACACACAGAGACAGGGAGAGAGAGAGAACGTACACATCACAATTAGACATATGTACATAACAAACGAACAATATTTGTAAATTTTCGAAATGTTTTTCAACTTTTTCTTTTTTATTCTTTTTGTATTGGAACATAAAAAGAATGAAAAATTAATTGTTGGAAAATGCCTAGCTTTGCAGTTATTTTCATGTTCTTTGTTTTATTGTTGTTGTTGCTTTGTTTAAACATTTATTTTGATTTGAGTTTTATGCTTTTTAACTTGCTTTGCTTATTTGCTAACGTTTCATTTTGTTTACACACAGAGCTTAGAACAATGACCGATAGACAGAGAGCGAAAGTTAGAGAGACAGAGAGAGAGAGGGAGAATGGCGGGGTAGCTAGAGCAAGATAGATATAAACATGTTTACTCGACAAAAAGTCATATAAATTATTATTAAACAAATTTATTTCAATTGAATTATTTGACTCGAAATTTCAACTGCCAAGAATTTAAAGATTGTAAATATTTTTTTATTCAAATTAATTGTTTGTCAAAATAAAAATGAAATTTGCGCATTTATTTATGTTACAGTGCGCTAATTTAATTTTTTATTTACAAAAATTTGTTAGATATTTCTTTAATTTTTTTTTTGACATTTTTAAAAGTAAAAAAAATAAATCTTTTTATAAA